AACTTTTGAGAGAGAGATAGAGACAGCGTGAACAGAGGAGGGTCAGAGAGAGAGGGAGACACAAAACCCGAAAGAGGCTCCAGGCTCTGAACTAGCTGTCAGCGCAGAACCTGATGCGGGGCTCGAACCCAGGAACCGTGAGATCATGACCTGAGCCGAAGTCGGACACTTAACTGAGTGAACCACCCAGGCGCCCCGAAACAATAGTTCTTCTGAAACTGATTTTATACATTCAAAATTCTAAAAGTAAGTGAATGTATTTTAGATAATGGGAACTAGCTTTCTCACTGTCAGAGTAGGGAGTTACAAATAGCGAAGGAATAAAGAATAACAACAACATTGTAGCACTGAGTTGGGACTAGAGTTATCAAGGAAATCTGGTGGTTCTGTCTATGCATTTCTAGATAGCATGATATAAAAATGGATGTACATATATGAGTGAATATATATTGCAAAAATTACACAAGTTGGACAACTGAAAGAAATCATAAGACTACAGAACATAAATATGCAGGACTTTTATACCAGTAAAGGGTATGGTGCAGCAGAAATAAATCACAGGCAAGCTTTGGGGTACTCAGAGACTTAGTTCCAGACTCAATTACCCAGGATCCTTTTTTTAGTTGCATAGGAGTTTTATTTGCAGAACATGAACCACCAAATTTTCTATGCAGAATCTTTATTTTAGTTGAGTCAAGGAAGCAGCTTTATTAGCTTCTTATGTGTTCCATTTGTTACTTGACCAAGTCAGGTTGCCTAATGGGTTTGACTAGACTTAATCTGTCAATTTGCACATGCTTAAGCTATATGAACTAATTGGTTTGGGTGTGTTTATATATCTATGCATGCACACATTTATGGGTACATGTATATTAATATAAACTTATATTTTATATCTTCTGTCAGTTGAGAGGGTCTGGATGCAATGACACCTCAGTAACAATGAAAAAAACTAGCACCTCCATTCTGGGTACTGAATATTTTTCTCCACTAGTAGAAACTAAGGGGTTGGAGAAATGGCCAAGTACTGAGCTTAGGGAATAAGAAAGCATATGCCTGGCCTAGGATGTTTTCTTATACCGAAGAAGAAATTGCTCAAAGAATGGCAGGAGCATGTCAAAAGGAAAAAAAAAAAAAAGCTTACAAGGTCACGTGTAGGAAAATTTGATCTATTGCACAAAACTAGGGAAATCCAAGCATCAAAATAAGTATAAAAGTTAAGGATTACAACCTAATTACTAAAGTAAGAATCAATAAATCAATTTGTATAAATTTGCATATATGTAAATAATTAAACTATAAAGGGAAATTATTCCTTACAGTATAGTGTCAACTAATCAATGAAAAGAAATTATTGGATTAGAAAACAACCATTTGGTAACAAATGATTCTGATTATTAAGGGATACTAAACTAGTGGGTAAATATGTGAAGAGTACAAAACATTTACATAAGTCTTAAAGTTATCTGCCCACAGGATACTTATTCCTTGCAAAGGGTAAATTAGTGACATCATCACAGGAAAGAAACATGGCAGTCACTATCCAAACCAAATGATCACAGTTAAACATTGCAAATAATGGCCAATAAATCTATAATGTGTCTCTCCTGATATGATACAATCAGATAAATTTAGCATCACTTTTTTTGGTGTTCCTGCCGAAAATGTATAACTAATATTTAATCATGAGAAAACATCAAACAAACCAAATTAAAGGATATTTTACAAAATTTGTAGCTTCTGCTCTTCAAACATGGCAGTTTCATCAAGTACAATAAAAAATTCAGGAACTTTTATAAAGAAGTCTAAAGAGAACCATGTCACCAACTAAATGCAATTTCATAATTATAAATTTTCTTTTGCTAGAAAAGACATTATTTGCCCAATTGTCAAAATATGGGTAAAATTTGCAAATGAGAAAATAGTATTATATCAATGCAAATTTTCTAGCTTTGATATTTTCAGGGAATTCCTCAACTACACAAACATGCTGAAGTAAAAAATTATTATCTATATCCTTGAATTAAAATAATTTGATAGAAAGCATTAAATTTTGAAACAAAATATTTTAGATTATAACACTCTAATTAAAACTTCCAAAACAGCTACAGAATATTATAAATATGAAATTAAAATGTTGACGGCCATAAGGGCAAAATACAAAAGTTAATAGCATATATTTGTTAGCAAAAACAGAGAAACATTTAAAAAGATAAATGTATTAATAAATCATATTTGTTAACTATTCAATAAATAAAGTATTAAGTCTTTATTGAAAAACAATATAAAATTTTGGGAAAGACCTACAATAGCAATAGAGTAAGTGCAAACACTTTCTACGTTTATGAATGCTAAATCTTAATTAATTATAGCTGGGAATTTTCCACAAATTATATAAATCCCATGCAATTTCACTCAATATGCCAGTAGACTTTTCATAGACATAGGGAAGCCACAACATAGAAATAATCTCTTTTCCTGGACAATCTCCAAGGTCAAACCAACAAATTGAATGATTAAACTGGTCAGACCTCAGACATAAAATCACACTTTTAACTGTGGGACTGTCTATATCTCCCTCTCAAAAAGACTACATAAAATTGGGATTCCTCTAAAGTACAAATAGTGTGTAAAGAAAACTGTGGTTTAAACTATACCCACCATTGCAGGTAATTTAATAATAAAAAATATTTGGGTAATAGGGAAATTATTAACAAAATATGAATTGTGTATCTACTATTTAGTTTGGGACATTTAGGATACAAATGAACATGCACATTCCTAGTCTTGAGAAGACTGCATAAAAAGTGAGGTAATCAAGGGTGTCTGGGTTAGTTAGGTGTCTGACTCTTGATACTGGCTCAAGTTATGATCTCAGGGTTTGTGGGATTGAGTCCTTTGTTGGTGTGAGTGCAAACCCTGCTTGGGTTCTCTCTTTTCCTCTCTCTCTGCCCCTCCCATAGTGTGCGCACTGTCCTCTCTCTCTCTCTCTCTCAAAATAAGTAAATAAGCTTTAAAAAAAAGTGAGGTAATCAAAATATGTAAGTAAAGAGTTGTGACTAAGGATGATAATTGATGTAAACATGTACAAAGTGCAGTAGTAAAGAAGATAAGCATTAGATTTGTTTGGTGCCATTGGAATAGGTGTTTCCTATGTAAAGTAGCACCTAAGCTAATATTTGATGCATATTCAGAATTTTCCATGCAGAAAAGAAGTGGGGAAAATCAGGGCTGCTTGTAGGCCCAGGTCAATGTTCCATATCCCGTTATAGCAAGCCATAAACTTCTCTTTTTCCTAAGTTTCTGCTACTAGCTTATCAACTAAAAAATATTGCTGACCACAGTGTGCAGCCCCAAACACTCTGAGATCAACATTACAATTCATGATGTGAGTGCTATTAACAATGTAGGTCATCTTTTAGCTTTCAGTTTTAACTAATTGAGCTTGCAACCTAGGTTCTAAACTCATTTGCTTCTCTATAGCTTCAAAAGGGCAGGTGCTGTCAATGTGTGAATGTAACAAATATGAAAACTGCATATCTTTAAAAAAATCAACTTATTAAAATGGAGTTTCCATATTTTCCTGTTTTCAGGCAACGTCTTGCCTTCTGGATCTAATTTAATCTCACATTCAGGTTTTCTCTCATTTTTATTGGTCTTAAATTTAAATCTTTATGTTGATATGTAAATGTAATTAAGGGAAAGCTTATATATTGAGAGTCCTTTATAGGCCTTATAAAAGCAGTTGAAAAGATTTAGGAAAGCATGCAAGGCACATATCTTCCTGAAGTTTACCCTGATTATAATACTTAATCTAATAGGTGTGTTTGACTATGGTAGAAAGAATTCTAAAATGTGCCCCACCCCTGCTAATTGACACCCTGGGGACTGATAATATGACAAGAAGTCACAGTCTTTGTGATACGCTTTTGTCTTTGCGAAAATGGATTTTGCAGATATTTTTAAGGTTAATAATCAGTGGACTCTGAGTTAATCAAAAGGAAGGCTATTTGGGTGGGCCTAATCTGTGCACACAAACCCTTTGGCAGCAGTGGTGGTGATGTGACTGACGACATCAGATGAATGAGAAGCAGAAAGGCGTAACCTGTCCTTACTGGTTTATTATAAAGAGGCCACCGGAGAAGGAAAGTGGATGGCTTCGAGAAGCAGAGAGCTGCTCCTAGCAGACATCTAGCAAGGAAATGAGATCTTCAGTCCTCCAAATGCAAAGATAATTCTGCAAAAATCTTAATGAACTTGAAAGCAGTTTCATGTCCTGAACCTCCATAAAGGAACCCAGCCCAGATGACACCTTGATTAAGGCCTTGTGAGACTCTAAACAGAGAACTCAGTAAAGTCCTCCTGGCCTTCTGACCTAGAAACCTGTAGATAATAAGTGAATATTCTTTTTTTTATTTAAAAAAATATTTTATTTATTTCTGAGAGAGAGAGTGAGCAGGAGAAGGTCAGAGAGAGAGGGAGATACAGAATCTCAAACAGGCTCCAGGCTCTGGGATGGCTGTCAGCAAATAGCGTGACACGGGGCTCGAACCCACGAACCATGAGATCATGACCTGAGTCGTTTAAGTGTCAACGACTGAGCCACCCAGGCACCCTAATAAGTGAATATTCTTTTACATTGCTGAGTTTGCAGAAACTTGTTACTCAGAAATAGAAAACTAATACAATAACCCATTCATAGAGGTGTTAATCTAAAATATACTAACAATGTAGTATCTGCTTACTATGCTTACTATCACTTACCCTAATTAATACCATGGAGAATAGATAATAAATTGCTAATGATTTTGAGGATTGTTGTGTAAATTAACCTTACAATCTCTTGAACTTGCTTTATAAGGTCAGTAAGGGTAACCACCACATCTAATTTTATTATTTATTTCTCATATGCCTAGTATAATATTTTATATTTCATAACAGGTCAACAATTTAATCGATTCAATTTATATAAGTATTTTAAACTTATTTTTATGACTTACTTTTTCAGTTATCCAAATAAGTGATTGAGTGTCCACATCTACTTCCTGCAAGGAATACAACGATATAGAATAATGTGATCTTATTCTCAAAAATCCTATGGCTCATAAATACAATTTATTTAGAGGATCTGCACTGATAGACATTTAGAATGTTTTCATACTTGCAAGATCAAAAAGTACAGAATTTATATTAGCATAGTGGTATAAATATACCTGTTGTAATTTCTCATCCCTGGAATTATTGGGCCAGTTCATGCATTTTGATTTTGATGGATTTTGCCAAATTATATCCCCTAAATAATTGTCAGATGTATAAAAACAGCATCTTATTTCTTTCATTATTTATTTACTTCACAGTGAGTGTGAATATCTTATTTTGCTGATTTCCCTTTATAAATTTTTTTCCTGGCTACTGTCTGTACAATAGTTTGTCCATTTTTCTACTTGTATTTTGTTTCTATGAAAATGCTTTGTAAATACATTTGGAAAATCAAGGAAACCCACTGCCTTCATATGTGTCACATACATTACTTAACTTTGTTGAATGTTTGTTGTGTAGACATTTTATATAGATTTATATAATTGTATATAAATACATTTACATTTTGACTTTTTTAAGGCTCTAGCTTTGTGTTTTATATATTCCTGATTGTTTCCCTTTTTGAATAGATGACTAAATTTGAACCCGAAAAATGAGAGTGGAGAGAGAAACTTGCTATATGTTGAAAGAACATTATTTAGAGCTATATCAACTTTAAATATAACAAAATTTGGGGAGCCTCAGAGCATTTATATAATAACAAATACATCTGCAATTTTTTTTCTGACTACTTTCCTGTGTCTTGGTTTTAAAATTAGAAATCTCCAGGGATGTCTGGGGCTCAGTCAGTGAAGCATTCTACTTGGGTTAGGGTCATGATCTTGTGGTTCTTGAGTTCAAGGCCCACATCAGGCTCACTGTTGAGCCTGCTCTGGATCCTCGGTCCCTTCTCTTTTTGTCCCTCTCCTGCTCTCTCTCTCTTTCTACCTCTCTCTCTCTCCCCCTCTCTCTCAAAAATAAATTTAAAAAAATTAAAAAGATATCTCCAGAATCAAATTTTAATGTAAATTGTTACTAATAAAGATCTTAAGAAGGATTATTTCTTATACAGAGAAAAATAGAGTTGTTAGTAATCAATAATATGCAGTCTGTATAGTTTTAATATAAGTACTGAAAACTCACTTGTTGATCAACGGAATGATGAGTTGAGGAAAACGTCTGTAAAATAATCTTATAGTATGTATGACAATTATCACAATACAGCCATGTTTTAGCGAAAGTAATAGAGTGAGCACATAAGGAAAAGAGGAACAGGGATAAAAAAGAGTTTTATATTCAGGATGCTTGGGGGGGCTCAGTTGGTTAAACATCTGACTCTTGATTTTGGCTCAGTTCATGATCTCACAGTTTGTGGGATCAAGCCCTATATCGGGCTCTGTGCTGACAGCATGGTACCTGCTTGGGAGTCTCTCTTTCTCTTTCTGCCTTTCCCCTGTGTGTTCTCTCGCTCTCAGAATACATAAATACTTAACAAAAAGGAAAAAGAGAGTTTCATTTTCCAGTATCACAGTATCATCCAGGCAGTTAGGCAGGAGAGAAATTTAGGGATTTAAAGTATTGTGAAGCCTTTTTTTTTTTTTTTTTTTTTTTTTTTTTTTTTTTTTTTTTTTTTTTTTTTTTTGGAAATTTAATATCAATGAACTCTGACAAATAGGAAGTTTAAAAAAGAAACTCAAAAATCCATACTGTAAAAGATCTCTTGTTTTTGTTGAGATTNCAAAAAGGAAAAAGAGAGTTTCATTTTCCAGTATCACAGTATCATCCAGGCAGTTAGGCAGGAGAGAAATTTAGGGATTTAAAGTATTGTGAAGCTTTTTTTTTTTTTTTTTTTTTTTTACCAGTAGATAATCATTGATATGCTTAAGATGGAAATTTAATATCAATGAACTCTGACAAATAGGAAGTTTAAAAAAGAAACTCAAAAATCCATACTGTAAAAGATCTCTTGTTTTTGTTGAGATTATGATTTTAGTAGAAGCAACCTACACTAGAGATTTTCTTTCTTTACTAAATCTGGAGATACCTCAAACAGTTCCTTTTATCTTAACCTACCAGATGTTGAATTCAAAACTCAGTGTCACCAATGTATCAGGAGTAGTGGGTGTCATTGAAAAAATAGATTTGGGGATTGTGAGGTCAACATTTGTCATGAGCTAACCTGGCCAATGTAAAGAGACTCAGTGACAGAACAGGTAATTCTAACAGTGTTTGTAAGACTAGAAAGATAATAATGGCCTCTCTACATGCAAGCATAATAAAAGCCTAAATCGAATCTTAGGAGTATAGTTGTCCTGAGCGAATCAGTATCATATAAAACAGATGCAGAATAAATTACCCACTACAGTGCATGTGGGAAACTGAACATGGCATAAGATAGCACACTATAATTGTCAAGATAAAGCAAAGGTAGTGAAGTAGTACTTACCCCAGTGTCAAACGAACATATACTGTGTTAAGATTAATAAGGGCTGTAATGCAATTATATACATGAGATGATATTTGGAAATGGTAAGCAATTACTCCCTGATATTTTCCCTTCCTGTTGTTATCTCTCAAGGATATTCTCTGTTATATATTCTCAAGGATATTCACTGCCTCTAGAAATTGATGTGACAGTTGAGTAGAAAACAAAAGAAAGCCAAACCCCAGTAACCTAGATTTCAGAGGTTTACTGCACTAGATTACTTAGTATTAAAAAATAATGAATGAATGAATGAATGAATAATACCTTTAAAAGAGACCACACTTATAATAAGAAAGAACTACAGTAACAATGATAAGTCATGAAGGAAGCAAGAAATTATTAGGTACTGGCATTTCAGAGAAAGCAGAAACCCAAAGCCTGTTTCATACAGTTCAAAAGCCATCATGGAAAAGTAGCAATATTACCTATGCCATATAAAAATACTGCCACCTTCCCAGAAGTTGTAGGGTGAAGGTGAGATTCAAAGGGGCCTTTGTCAAAGGAAAGAGATACTACAAAAACCCTATTATGGACCAAAGCTGGAATGCTAGAGATATTAACAATTGAGGCTAACATGGGCAGATGATGATCAGATTATGGTAGATGTACTGCACACACATGTGTTAGCACTCCACTCCCAAACCTGTATCCAGCTCAGAGCAAGAGGGATTTGATGAACTGCTACGTTGGCTAAAATAATGTTTCTGCCTCCAAAATAATAAGAGTTCAAAGCAGAAATTTAGATAAATTATAGGAGAAAAAAGGCAAAAAATCTGTCACTGCAAAATGAGTGAGGGAATCCCTTTAGTCAGCTGGAAAACAAATCATTGTGATACAAAAGGAAACAAAACACACACACAACACATAATGCAAATAGAAACAGAATAGAAAGAAAAGTAGAAACAGTACTGAGCCTGGCATTCACCTATGAGCAATTAGAAGATTGTATTGGCCACACTGTGAAGATGGATTAATGATCAAATAAGGATGTACATTATTACAGTCACAATAATTAGTTATACATGAAACTAATTAATTATATCTCCACCTTATTATTTGTCTGGCAATCCTTCAAAAAGTTCACAAATGGTCTTATTTTAGGTCTTCAAAAATGATTTTTTGTGCTGTTTTGTTCATTGCTTATTCAAAAGAAATTTACTGAAAAACAAATATTGTGTGGGGTTCTAAATAAGATAAAGGAAATTAGGCACTTTCTCATGGAATTAACAGCCTACATTGGGGACACACAGTAAACAAATACTGGGGACACACAGTAAACAAATACTGCATAAGCAAGTTTTAAATTTCAGCCATGCATAAGTTCTAATAAAGTACGTGAAGTAAACAAGCAGATAAATAAGATGGTGATCTACCAACCCTGGAAGTGGGAGAGAATTGGTGGAGATGGTCAGTAAAATTTCCCTCACATGACAGTGATATTTAGACTGAGACCTGGGGGCACCTAGTTCAGTCAGTTGGGAGCGTGACTTCGGCTCAGCTCATGATCTCACAGTTCGATTCGTGAGTTGGAGCCCCAGGTTGGGGTCTGTGCTGACAGCTCAGAGCCCGGAGTCTGCTTGGAATTCTGTGTCTCCCTCTCTTTGTGTTCCTCCCCTGCTTGTGCTCAGTCTCTCTCTCTCAAAAATAAAGAAAGGTTAAAAAAAATTTAAACTGAGACCTGGAAGGTCAGAATTCTAGCCAAATGTGTGAGATACAAAAGGAGAGAAAATACTCAAAGCAGAGAGATCTGCATATATTTGATGTTTGGATTTAAATACCCTTCATTAATAACAAAGCCGGCATATTTGCATTAGGTGATGAGGACTGAGATTCCAGCACAGGCCTGGGTGTTGATACATAGAGCTAAGCCTAGCAGGCTTCTGCTGCATAGATACCCATATGTATCTGGATGCTGGTTTATCTTGGAACTTCATACCAGGGTTTGAGAGTTTTAGATTAGAAACAAAATTTGTATAAAAACAAAATACATTTTCAAATTTAGAGAGATCATGGGAAACAATTAAATAATTTATCTGGACATTTCATTTTCATTTAGAAGAAAAATGCAGGGAAGAAAAATAACATTTAACTTTCAATTAGTAATCATGTTATTAAATTCTCTGAATGGTAACAAAAGCACATTGGTTATAAAATCATATAGAATTTCATCTTGTATGTTTTTAGTTAATAATGTATTAATACCTTAAAGGATAAAAAATACTATAAAATTCCAATACACTGAGAAATTCCATTCTTAGTTAGATCAGTGTTCATTTTCAAGTTTCCTGAAAATACATATTTCTCAATAATGAAGATTTTCATGGTAGAAATTTATCTTCATCATTCCTGCAACATAAATCTAATTGCATCTTCAAGGTGTTTGGTCAATATCTTTATCATACCTTTATCAATTTTTAAAATTAATCCCACTTTTCAAAAGTTAGAGCAGCAACACTAAAATATAAATTTTCTCACGTAAGT